TAGTGTATGTGTGTGTGTATATATATATATATATATATATATATATTAGTTCATTTGCAAAAACAGATACTTAAGAAGTACTTTATTACAAAAAAAAATGGTTTAAAACCTAATAATAATGCAGTAACTCCTCTGAAATGACTTTCAATTTTCACTGGCATCACTTAGGCTTTCTTGGTTATTTTATGATTTTAACTAACTGCCAAATACTGTAACTACTTATTCACAGTTTTAGCAACTCAAATACAATCTAGCTTCATTCTGTGAACTCCCACTTTTATCCAGTAAATGTGCTATGTCAATCAGAAGTATGTGAGTTTTGCAGTAGTAAAATGCATTGCAAACAGCAGTTCACGCTGGCATTGATATTCAAAGATCGTTTCTCATTGAAGCACAAACTTTGTTTGTATATTTCAGAACTTGTGGCACTGAGATAACAAAACTATTTATATAAGATCCACAAGCTTAAGAAACAACAACATACTGTATGCATCACATCCTCAAAACTGATTGATTGATTGATTGATTGATTGTCACACATACAAGGTTGTCATGACAATTGTACAATTTAATATAATTTGTGTTATTTCCAAGTGTGCCATTGAGATCACTCAGAAGGTCTGCTTGCAAATGTAAGAAGCACCTGTATTAAACATCACTGAACATCCTTTGCAGCACCTTTTCTTAGTAGAGAAAATGAATGCCAGATCAATTAAGTAACATTGGGAAGACTTCCAAACGGTGCAGGTTTAAATCTATCATCGGATGGTTTGGATCTCTTTCAGTCTGGCAACAATGAGCTTGTTAGAAGCCCACGGAGGCTTGTTACTGTGAGACGCCTGAACTGTGTTATGAATGACCCGTGTAGACTGGGCTGGACTTTCCTCCTGTCTGACCTCAACAATGTCAAGCAACTTTTTGTTGACATATAAAGGCCTCATAAAGTGTATCTGGTTTTGGGTTAAGAACGTTCCTCTAGATAAAGGTCTCTATAATTTGGTGTGAAATTCCATGGATCATTTTCACTAGAAATCGCTGGAAAGTTCAGCGTTCGCCACCAGCTTCTTCAGTGACCCTGTAAGAGCACATCCTGTTATTTCCAGAAGAAAAATCTATACCTGTGCAAAAAGGTGCAGAGCAGAGGAGGACATGCGGTGAAAGCTACACCTCCAGCTCCGTCAGCTCTCTGCACGACTAATTGCAGTTTTCTCAGAGATCTTCTTGTTAAAAATACATGGTCTTATCCTAGAGTTCACAGTCAGGGCAACTCCATCTGGTATTAAACGGAGGAGATCCAACCGCTTGTTCATAAGAATCCTGTAAAGATTCAGACAAGCTGTTCAAACAAAAGCAAAGTTATCGTGGTACCAAAGCTCCACAGCAGTTCTCTTCAGGTTCGGGCATTATCCTTTAAGCACATCTCTGTCAGACAGGAGCAAAAGCGAAATGTGTTGGGTAGAGCAGGGCTGGTAACGTGAGAGGATGGGGTTATTTGACCTGCAGTGATACGGGCCAGCACACACTCAACTGCTGCACTTAACTCCGCTTGTGGCTGACAGGGACTGAAGCACGTCTCGCATGTGGAATGAGCAGAGCGATGTGGGTTGAGGTCAGTTCACAGTTTAAGGGTTTTGGAAATTGCTTGATGATAAAAATGCTTTATTATTACATTTCAGAACGTTATGACACTTGCACATGCAAAAAAAAAAGTATGTTTAATGTTTTTCAAAATATGTTAGTTATGTGTTTTGACCACATTACTTTGTGGTTGCAAGGGTGATTTCTTACTGATCCATGTTTAAAAAATCATATTATTATAGTTCACCCAAAAATTCAGATCAAGTCATAATTTACTCAATTCTATGTCGTTCCAAATCCAAACCTGTATGACTCTCTGTCTTCTCTGAAACCTAAAAGTAGTGTTTTTTTTTTCTTTCCCAAAATTGTTTGGTTACCACCAGCATTCTTCAAAATATCAAAGAGAGCATTATTAAAAATTGAAAAAGAAGCATATACATGGTTCAATCATTCACAATAAGATCTATAATATTTAGAAAATAGATTTTAAGTAAGCTGTTTGGTTCCCAACATTCTTGGGTTCTGCAGAAGAAAGAAACTCGCACAGGTTTGGACCGACATGATGAGTGACAGAATTTTCATTATTGGGTGAACTATCCCTTTAAATAGTTTGTTTTCCAGCAATATACTTAAAGGGTTACTCCACCCCAAAATGAAAATGTTGTCTTTAATCACTTACCCGCATGTCGTTCCAAAAACGTAAAAGCTTCGTTCGTCTTCAGAACACAATTTAAAAGGGTCATATGATGCGATTTCAAGTTTTCCTTTCTGTTTGGAGTGTTACAAGCTGTTTGTGAATAGACAAGATCCCTAAAGTTGCAAAGACTAAAGTCTCAAAACCAAAGAGATATTCTTTATCAAAGTTAAGACTCTGCCACACCCCCCTAAAACGGCTCGTTCTAACACGCCCCCACATATCTAGGTCACTATGTGGGAA